GGGGGGGGGGGGGTTAATTATGAACAGATAATCAGAACATGGGTGTAACAATACTTTGTTTTTTTAAAATATTGCATAATATTCCACTACTCTTCTGTTATGAACATTTATGTTGTTTCCAGTTTGGGTCTACTAAGAATAATGCTGCTATGAATTATCTTTTGGTGGAAATCTACACTCATTTCTCTCAAGAACAAACATAGGACTACAATTCCTGGGTCATGAGGTAGGCAGGAGGTGAGGCATCTTTAGAAGATACTGTGTTTTTCCAAGTAGTTGAAATAGATTTCTACCAGCAAGGTATAAGAGTTCCAGTCGCTCCATACCCTCGTCAACACTTTGCATTGTCAGCCCTTTTCATCTTAGTCATTCTGGTAAGTGCCCAGTGGTATCTTATTGTGGTTTTAATTTGCATTTCCCTGATGAGTAATAATGTTAAGCTACAGTATGTTCTTAACTAAAAAAAGACCAAGCAACAAACCAAAATATTGACAATGATCTCTGCAGAGGTGTGATGATTTATTGTTTTTATTTTGTTCTTTTTTGCCTCATGGTCCTTCCGGTTGCTAAGCTTTTTGCATTTTTTAAATTTAAATGCTTAATTTTTTAAATGATAAAAACAACCAACCAACAAACAAAAAACACACAACACCTCCACCTACTTATTCTTAAAAATGACAAGATATATTTACAAGTAAAGTCACCAAGAAATATTTATTGAGCACCTGCTGTATACTCAGCACTTGGGGGGGGGGGCTGAGAAGGACACAGAGTAAAGGACATGGTCCCTGCCCTTTAGAGGTGTACAGTCTAGATAAAGACAGGAGAACCAGGACACATGGGGAGCCAGGAGAAAACAGTCCAGGCCAGGATGTTACAGGAGCTGGAAGGTGTTTGAGGCAGACCCACCAAGTGCTTCGGGTCCTCTGAGGGCTCCATGTTCAGCACCAGGAAAGACAACCCACAACTCCCGGGCCCGTGTCTGCCCACTTGGTGAGCTGATCCACAGCCTCTGCTCCCACCATTTAAAACACCTGACTCCTTGTTCAGCTGTTATTCAAAGTGCAATGAATGGGAGAGGGTGGAGCAGGTGGGGACGGTCCTTGGATGAGTCCCAGGGGCTGGCGTCACACTCTCCCTCCTAGAAAAATCTGCTCCTCCCATCCACATAGCCCTCTGAGAGGGAGATCCCCATTCATGGAGGCCTGCTGACCACCCAGGACCCCTACCCTCAGAGCTGAGAGGAGGGGGTGCTCGCTGCTCCAGCTGCCTGAGGTAGAACTGGGGAGCCTACTTCTAGTGTGCCCCTTCCTTTCCAGTCCACTGGCACCCCAGAGGAGCTGTTCAGGGCTGAGAGGGAACTAGAGGGAAAGGACATAGGGAGGGGAGAGGGGCAGATGGGGACTTGAGCGCCCAGCTGAAAAAGAGGGGCACGTGGGGCTTCTAGCACAGTCCTGGAGAGCCAACAGGTGGAAGCCAAACCCCACGGCTGGCTCCCCTGTGCTCGACAGAGGGGCATGAGGGAGGTGGGTGCTTTGCTATGGGACCCTACCTCCCCGTGCCCTCACAGGACAAAGTAGGGTGTCAAGGGCCAGGAGAGTGCCAGTCCCCTCCACCCNGGAGGTGGGTGCTTTGCTACGGGACCCTACCTCCCCGTGCCCTCACAGGACAAAGTAGGGTGTCAAGGGCCAGGAGAGTGCCAGTCCCCTCCACCCGTTCCAGATGGTGCCCACTTCAAGGTCACCCTGCCCAACCTTAGAGGAGGTGAGGGTGATGCCCCAACTCTGCTGGGCCCCTTTCAAAGTGCTATCTCTTTACTTCTCAAATTATAAGGAATTCGGGTCTGAGAATGAAGGAAAGGAGCGGAATTTCATACTGTGCGTGAAACAGTGAACAGAGGGAGCCAGGCCCCTTCAGAGAGCACCACCCAGCAGGTGAGGGGCACACCGGCCCCCCCTTGTCTCTGGGAGAGAAGAAACGGAAAGCGTAGGATGAGGTGGTTTTAAATAATAGTTTGCATAATAAAAATATCTGACAACCTAATAAGCCTATCATTCCGCTGTCTAATGTTTTCTTTAAATAATTCTAATGCCAGTGGCTGGCGGGGTGGGAGGTGTTACGATCAGGCTATATACACGAGGGGGAAGTTTAAATTAAAACAGAGATAATAATTAAGACACACGAACTGAAGGAATAGGGCAAAAGATGTAGAACGGGCCGGAGGGAGGCCTGTGTTTCCAGGAGCGAGAGGCTTCCAGGGCGCGGGTTAGGGCTTCCTCTTGGACAAGATCAGCCGGCGTTTGGAGTGATAAAAATCTAAGGAAAGAGAACAGAGGTCAGCCAGGCCAGGAGAACAGACAGCTGCCCAACCGAGGCCAACTGCAGAGGGCTCAGGACCCCTCCCTAGGGCCAAAGGGACACACTGCCAAGCACAGGGAAGAACTCCGGCAGCTCCCACCCCATCTCCCAGGGCATTTTCAGGGCATCCTGCTTCACAGATGTGACAGTTCATGGGACCCACATCCCTGAGCCTCCTCTAACCCAAGCTGCCCAAAGCCATAGCCACCAGTCCTGGGTAGTTATTTAAATTAACTAAAATCAAATAAGTGGAAAATTCACTTCCTCAGTCACACTAGCTGCATGTCAAGTACCCAACAGCTCTAGGTGGCTGGTGACAATGTCTATCTGCATCGCTGCAGGGCCCTGGGACAGCACTGCTCTGAGGATACCATTAGGTCATCGGAAGGGTTGTACACAGCGCCTAGGCCATGTAAGTGTTAGCTATTATTACTTGTTGTTTGTTCTGACCCAGCTGCAAATCTGCTGTGGGACCCTGGGCTGCATCTCGCCGAGCCCCCGTTTCCTCGCCTGTAAAATGAGGGTAATGCTGGTGTGCTGCTCTAAGGCCCAGGTGAAATGTTCTCGGTAAAGGCTCTGGTCTAGGGCCTGGCCTAGTGAGTGCTTCAGTGTCAGCATCACTCATTCGTTATTTATCAAGCACCTACTATGTGCCGACACCATTCTACGTGCTAGGGATTCAGCAACGAACAGGAGAGATGTAGATCCCTTTCTGGGGGAGATAATATCCTCGTCGGGGAGACAGACAGCATCAAGATAAGGAAGTAGCTGCTGACAGTAAAATGTACCAAAATGAACCAAATAAGCAGGGCCGAGGAACAGGAAGTGGGGGGGGGGGAGTTAAGTTTGGATAGAGCAGCCAGGAAATTATTATTACCATTAGTTTTCTCTTCATTGCAAATTTACTGTGTGACCTGAGGAAAATCTACCTGTCTCCTTGCCTGCAAAAGGGTGGCAGGAATGTCATATGGATTGTTTTAAGGACTAAATGAAGTCCTCCTTAGAAATTTAGTGAAGGGCCAGCATTTAATAAATGTTTGCAATGAATGATAGCTCGTTGGTCTTGGCTACAGACTTCCCCTCTCTGAGCCTGTTTCCCCCTCGTAATGAGCAAGCTGGACCGGACAGCTCAGCCCTTGCACCATGAATTCTGAGTCTCGGTCCCTTGCAGTGTCATTCCCTGTGTTTGCCCTCACCTGTCATGCTGGTCTGCCGTCGTTTTCGGCCCTGAGACATGCTAGGCCCACCTGGGGACCCCTCAGGCCGCTCGGAGGAGCAAGGGATGAGGGTGCAGGACAGTGACAGGTCCACGTGGTCCTCCTGAGCTGTCCCCTGCAGCAGGGCAGGTGAGCTGCTGGCCTGCTTGCCTCCTCCCAGGTTGTCCTGGGCCCCCCGCGGCCCTGAGGGCACGTAGAGCTTGGGCAGGCCCAGGCCCCACACACGCTCCCAGACGTAGTCACCCTCCAGTGGTGTCTCGGTGACAAAGTCGAAGTTCCATCGATCACAGGCCTCCTGGACGCAGCTGGCCATTAGTGCATTGCAGTCTCGGCGCAGCTGCTCACTGTCCACTGGGCCGAACAGGCGACGGCAGGCCTTGCTGCCACGGGGGATCGGGCGGGCATCCTGGGATGGCTCCGACATGGCTCCTGCAGCTGGGACACAAGAAAGGCCCTGGTCACTCAGGAAATTGGCCTCTCCCTTACCAGGCTGTGCTTTGCTCAAGTGAGGTCTTCCTACTAGAACAGGAGGTGAGGGGGTGTCTCTGGCTTCTTCCAGCTGATTTTCCAGCACCTCCTTCCCACAGGACCCCCCACCTCCCACCAACAGACACTGGGTTGGGGCAGAGCCCAGCTATCATGGCACCCCAGGGTGACTGGGAGAGCGGGCAGCTGAAGGGCAAGCTTATGTCAACAAAGCTTGTTGCAATAGCAGGGGTCAGAGGCCTGTGAACCACCAGGTATTATCAGCTAAAATCAATTTACTTTACCCCCCCGAGGTGTCCCTCATGGGTGTGAATGCCCGAAGTACGTGTGAATTTTGAGTCCAGCAGTTTCCCAACCTTGGCCAGGAGGTCAGTTCCCAGATGAATGGACGGGCTGACAGCTCCTCCAGCCTCCTGAATCCCCTACCCAGATGCTCATGTGGAGTAAGGCTGCTCTAACACTTAAAAGTACCCTGGACTTTGGGGTAAAAAACACCTGGGATCCAGACTTACTGTTGCTGTTTACTATCTAAACTTTAAAAAGTCACTTAATGTTTCAGGACCTCAGTTTCCTCTTCTGTAAAATTGGTTCTCTGAAAGCTTAAAGTGGAAGCATGATCGAGCAATTGGCAGGGAGTCGCTTTAGGAAAGGCAGATGGCTTGGAGTTGACCGGCTGACTTTTGTGGTTAAGAGCGAGGGCTATGGAGCAGGACTGCCTGGATTCAAATCCAGGCTCTGCTGGTTGACCCTGAACAAGTGGTTTAACTTCTCTGGGCTCTATTTTCCTCATCTACAAAATGCAGGCAATAATAGTAAGTGTCTGAGACGACAGATGTGAGGATTAACTGAGTGGAGAATGTGCTTAGAGCAGCACCTAGTATGTAGAAGTGCTTGGAAAACAGAAGTATTATTGTTTCTCTCTGTCTTCAGTTCTGGCTGAGTCTCCACCCAGACAGCAGCTGACAGGTGCTGTAGGCTGAGGGCCTTTCACAAGGATGGCATCAGGCGAGTGGCCTGGGGCTGAGGAGGAGCTGGGCAGGGCAGGGCGGAGCCATGATTTCTCCCAGGCTGAGCCACATCCTGCCAGGCTCATCAGGTGATCTGAAGTCTAGACTGCCTTGAAGCCCCTGCCCCATGCTGCCTGCATCCAAGGAACCTGTTTTGCAGGCAAAAAAAATTAAAGGCGGCCAGTCTACCCAGTTCCTCTCCTCCCGCTTCAGGAGAGGAAAAGCCAGGGGAGCACTGGCACCCACCTGCCCTGCTCTGGCCTGACTCCAGGGTGGAGCGGCTGCACGAAATTGGCAGGGACTGGGTTTTACTGGGAACAAGTCCTGATTTGCAGGCTCTGAGGGTGAAAGCTTTGCTGAAGGAAGCCCTGGACTCATGACACACCTACTGCTCCCTATTCCACCTCTCACAATGAGTGCAGCCCACATCTCAGCTGATAGGGAAGGGGCGGCACTTGGTGACCTCAGGCCAAGCTTAAAGGGCAGAAGAGAGAGGATACTTGCCCCCAAACTATACAACTAAAAATGGTCAAAGGCCATTGTCCCAAAGAGGAGTTACACAATGCAGAGCCTTCAAATAACCTTTATCCACTGTCTCCAGGGCAAGGATTGAAACGTATTTATATATTTTTATGTGTCAGGGATGCTCTAAGAAGTTTATGATTTTCCTAAAAAGTGGGTATATTAGCTCCTTTTTACAGAAGAAGAAACCAAGGATCAGAGAAGTTAAGTAACTTTCCCAAGGTCACACAGCTCACACATAGCACAGCCAGGACTTGAACCCAGGCCTATTTGCCCTGGGTTCTGTGCTCTGGTGTTGAACTCTACTCCCTCACTAATTTTGAGGTTTCTTAACCAAAAAAGCCCATTAGAATCACTTGGGGAGCTTTTTCAAAGTGTAGATCAATAGGCCCCTCCCTCTCCAAACCAACCTAATTCAAATTGAAGGGGATTTAAGCAAGTATTTGGCAGTTCCTCAGATGGGCACACAAGAGAGGACACACAGGCCTCAGTGCTTCTGAGCACGAGGAGGGGCTCCCCTAGGGCTTTATCAGGAAGCTGATGTTCCTTGGGTCCTAGGAGCTGAGGATGGGACGGTCATCCAGGCAGGGAACCTCTCTCCTCCTACCACCCCTTCCCTTGTGGCTCTCACAGGGGCCCCATCAAAATCTGCTCTCGCACCCATTATCATAACTCCCAACTCAAAGGAAACTCACAGACACAAACCCCTGTTTACAAACAAGTAACTGAGAATAGCTGTCTTCGCTGGCCTTCGTGCTTTAGATCGCAACCAATTGTAATTCCCAAGTAAACAGTAAGCCCTCAGTAAGCGCTGTTGAACCAATGGAGTACTCTTTTCAGGGGGCGTCGGG